AGGACAATTGACTTGCTCGGTTTTGCTGACGAAATTGTGCAATTTTAACACTACCATGAAAAGTGCGTGGTGAATCTGCAGTGGAGGATCTAGGGAGGTTCTTGGGGTCCGGACCCCCCCGTCCCCGTTGAAAAAATTATTCAATTTTTTTTTAGTGTAAAAATCATTAACATTTTCAGGCGATTTTAACGTTTGGACCCCCCCCCCCCCCACCATAAACAAATCCTGTATCCGCCCCTGATCTGTCAATCCAATTACAATGGGCAATTATTACCCTCTAGCTAATACAGGCATCTTACTTTAATTTGTTGTTTCCAGTTCATCAGCAATAAAGTGTGGGTGAATATACGTCTATTTCGTTTGAGTGACATTTTTTCAATGAAATGTGAGTTTTATTTCTGCTTTTTATCAGATGATTACTGATGAAGCAATTTACTTTAATTCGTGTGTATTTGCGTAACTCACTATTTCATCGAATGAATACCTTATAGAATCCTGCAAACTATTACCGAGTGTAAACTTAACACAATTTACCGATGTAATCATCGATGGTACTCGCTTTGAATGTTATATGTTATTGCAATGAATTTAATCTGATTTTTCTAGAGCCCATTGTCCATCGACTGAGCGATGTCAAAATTTGACAACAGTTATCAATGTGAATAAGACAGCTGTTGTGTTAGCTGATGATGTTAAAAAGTTGATGTCTGAAAGAAAACTGGAGTGCATTTATGTGGCTTTTCCACCACACGGAGAAGTAAGTATGTATTGGCATTCAGCTGTTGTTGTTATAAACATTTTCTAAATAAAAATATACAAATTGACCAATCCAGAAATTGTATTATGACATCATCACTAGTTATAATTAATATTAGTGAGACAGTTCAACATTATCCAATCAGCAAGCACCTTATTTTAAATATGTGGGCAGTTGCAGTTGTTATGTCATGCCATGTGGAGGCATATGCGCGCATTATGAGTTTAGACAATATTCAGTACAATCACTGTTAAATATTTGAATTTGAATGAAAGCTGATGATTTTGATGCATTTACATATTTTATAATTTAAAATACGTTTTTAAACAAGGCCACGGTGTTGTGCCTTACACTGTAAGTCTTCACATATATACCTATATATATAATATAACACATGATACACGAGATAATAATTTATATAAATACATGTTACGAATATTATGCTATTATCTTATTCAGGGAATGGTGAAAATCTTAAAGAATGCCCACGTTCCCAATGTTGTCACTAGAAAAATTATTACTAGTTCCTTCTATCCAGTAAAGCTTCCCGAACATGTGAGACTAGATAACTATCACACTGCATTACTTGAACAAGAAATTTGTATTCGTAAGTATCCAACGTACATTTGTATTACTCTCTCCTTCTACTATATCTGCATAACCCTATTTTATTATAATATATGGTATATCTGCAAAATATGTCTTATGTACATTACATTGGTTTGGGGTGAAGCTCTACTGTTAATTTATTGGTGAACGCTGTCCAATTTCCTACAGACGGGAAAGTTTGTGTTGTCAAGTTCACGTTATTATCAATTTTGACTGTTCCTTACAAGTTTGACATTCGTAAGAACCTTCCTAAAAGTAATAGTGCATCGGCCACATTTTGTGGCAAATCAATTTATTTTGAGAAATTGACGGTACGTGTTAAATATATTTCAATATCGACACAGATAACCACCCTTACTATAGTTCTTGGTCTGTTATTTGTCGTTATACCCCATCCTACCCGCAAAAGAAGTACTCTCTTAAAAAAAAATGAGGTCAGTCAGTCTGTACTGCGTACTGTATAAGCGTTCTTATACCTGTGTATTTCCATCTTAAACAGTATTCGATCGTTTTTCCAAACAATATTATGATTAACAAATGGCAATCAAATCACAATCTATATCGGCACAAACCTTATACATCTTATACTATAACTGTACATTCCTATCATTTTCTAAAATTATATCTGTATCTATCTAATTACAAGTGTAATTCATATTTTATAGGTTCTCATTTGTTTTTGTCTCATTATTCATCGTTGTCAATGATGATACAAAATGCACGTGATGTACAGCCTGGCTTAGAGACCATACGTCTGTCTCAATTGATAAGCTGGAAAGCTCCAGGAGTTGTGTTAAAGAGGCGGAAGTTATAGATATACAAGAAGATGTTTGGTACAACTGCCATACTAGTAAACTGGCAAAGTCGGGACTTCTTTTTTTGTTTTACAAAAAGAAATACTAGTAATTAATTGTTCTTTTAGTCCTTTTAGCGTGATCGCGAAAACTAACCTGACCGCTAAAGAAATTCCGACTGGACGCATCTGCGGGAATTTGACTGCTATTAATTATTCATTATTCATTGATTATTCATGAGTGGGTGTGTGGAAGTAAACATGACCTTTTAAAGGTTGATTCGATTCGATCGCAGAGATGGATACATTAACCTTCTAAGTACAAAGTCGATACTTTCATCTATGTTTACTGAAAACAAGTCGATTTAAATAAACACGACTACACTCTGATTCGTTGTCAGTGCTAGTCAACAGCTTTTAATTAGCATAATCACCGGAGTGATTTCGCTCCGGTTTTCACTCCAATGCAGGGAGTCGCTTGCAGATGCGTCCAGTCGTGATTACTTTCGCAGTCACACTAGTTTTAATGATCACGTTAAAAAGGCTAAATTGACATTTAATTATATTTTTTTGTTGTAAAACAAAAAAGAAGTCCCGGCTTTGCCAGTCTACTACACTGGATGTGTAGTCCAGACGATTTGGCTCATTAGTATTTGCTTCATGATTATGGTGCGAAATTGAAATATTGAAATGAAATGTTAAAAATACAATAGTTCTACAGACTTGGTTAATCAGAATGTATATGTCAGGTATTCGTTAAATATTCATATTAATAAATAACCTTAATAACAGTCCACTGTTTTATTGTCTTTAGATAGATGGTTTATACATACCGGGATACTGCAAAGTAGTCACGAAGACGCGCAGTGGAGGTCGATGCGCCCGCGTACTGTCTGAGTGCATACTTTGCGGTATCCTCGTAATAATCTTATTATTATACATCTTTTCCTCCCAAGGATACCTTATTGGAATGCCGAAATCCAAAAAGTTTGAAACAGATTTAGCGAACTTCTTTGTTTGGGATCAGGTCAAACCATGGGGCGCCATTTTTGTTTTTATTGTTAGACGACGCTCACGCGCGTAATCATTACATACTAGTATTTGGAATTCACAGTTTCTGATATGGTAGAATGCAAATACCTAGTTCAATACTGCAAAATTACGGCACGCTGTAACTTATGACCTTACGGTTGCAGATGTATAGTTATAATCTTTATTTAACAGCTTTGAAAGGGAAAGTCTTTTGACTTTCTTCCTCAATGGTGAAATTAAAAGTTGCACACCTTTAGACAAGAGGACCACTTTCTGGAAACCCCAGTGCGCTCTCCCGCCAAGCTATTATAAACTTGTATCATTACAAGTTGTTATCTGTGCCAATTGCATCCTCTGTGAAAATTGTGACAAAGAAGACGTCAACAAAATGATACAGTGGCTGTTATAGGTAGTACATTTCTTATTCGAGTTAGTATTCAAACCCCAGTTTGATTAGTGCATTTAAAAATAATTGGGGAAGGATGAACTTCATATGCATGAAGTAGGATATTATGAATGAATATGTAACAACTTTGGGACATCACAGTAGCATTTGTGCAATGAACTAAGTGTTGAGTTATTGTAATAAATACTGAAAACTCAATCACATGTGAGTGCGCACATGGCGTTCCCGATTATACCGCATCACGTGAGAGTTTCCGATTGCGTAATATTCCAGGGTAGTAACAGATGGGTACGCACATAGCATTCCCAACAATACCGCATTCAGTAGGAGTAACAGGTGAATGTTCCACAATGAATGTTCTCAATTATACTGCATCCCAATGGGTTCCCATGGAGTCAATGTCGTACTACAAGCCCTGGGAGTAGATTATATATTATTCTAGACAGAAGTTGAATCAATGGTTTGCCATTTTTTTACACGCCAACTTGAAACGATATCGGCATTATTTCTAAATCTAAAGTTGTCGTATGCATAATAATACAAAAATAAAAGTGAAAATGACTTCAATTCCTTTGGGCATAGTAACGTGGCAATTAAACGAACTGAAAAACACAAACAGTGATTTACGCGTGACTACTTGAAAATATGTAATCCCATAGAAACGCATTTACCAGCAGGCACGCCCACCTTCTTATCCCATAGGTTTGAAATATCACCAATTATATGTATGATTTGTGTGATATCAACGCTCATTTCATTCAAACCAATTTAGGTGGATTTTAAACTTCAACGAAGAAATATCAAAGGTATTCGCTCTCAGATTCCAGAACAGTAATCTATTATGGGTATTTCAAATGATATATTTACGATATCAAGAGTATTTTATTTAACACTATGATAAAGACGTTGTGGAATGCCACAACAAATGTATTTCAAATATTTTATTTAGTCGTGTTGTTACAGTCTGGTACATTTGTATGTAACGTGATCAAGAAGTTTTCAATCTAGATTTGACCTGCACAAGTTGTAGTTCATCTCAGTTCGTTCTAAATGGTGGTTTACACATTGAATAATGTCGAAACGAGTCTCTATGCGAGACTTTTGTAGGAATACTAGACCATCACAGATGATGTATTTACAAGACCAACAAATAATTGAGCAGTCTATTATAATATATGTCAATTTATCCGTTTGGGGAAAATGTGTGTTGTCTGATGTAGAGAACATTTTGTTGATATGAATCCAACATATATCGTTGTTAGTGGCAATCATGGATGGGTTTTTCAATTTTGTAACGTGATACAGTCATAAACAACGTAAATATGACTCATTTTTCTGTTAATAAAACATCCAACCCTTAACTCTTCTCTGTTCTAAATTTTGTACATAGAATATCCAAAACACGCCAATAAGATATGACATTTTTGAAGCAACTGTGCCCTCAACGATGACTGTTTTATCAAGGTTGCGCAATGTCCGATTTCCATGCTGGGGGTCCATTTCACTCCCACGTGATCTCGTATCGTTCTCTTTTACCGACGAGTCCGCCATAGTGGCGTTATTTTGTGAAGTGAACAACAGTTCAGCGCCAGAAAGTCAAGATGGTAGGTACCATCGCTCAATTTTTATGAGCAATCCATATTATGTACTATGTCAGTTACTTGTTTGACTAGGTTTTGTTGTCAATGATGTAGTATATTCGGAGTTTATTCCAGTTGTTTCGACGATGCCTGAATTCCATTCATTTGTATCACATATCGTTGAAGCCGGCTTTTCGACATGCGACACATTTTTGCCGTAAATGTCCGTAATTCTTGTCAACTCGTTGATGAAGACTAGTCAGAACAGTAAATGACATGGATATGATTAATAGTTTTTTTCCGATGTAGAATGTTGAAGAAAAGCAACTTATTTTCTCCATCGGGCAATGTACGTGGCATGTGGCAAGAATGGCCGGCTATGACGTATTTGGTTTTCATTATGAAAGGGTTTGCACAACACTGTGAAACTGCTAAACATTTTCTTTTCATTTCCTATCATCGCTTTATGGTTATTTGATCTTCTTTAAATGTTACTTTTCACGCTTGTTTTCAAAATAAAATCAAGTGCGTAAGGAAAATTGTTTACTATTGACACATATGGCGACATCGTGACAAGCAAATGTTTGTGACCACGTTCTAATTTCGTGGTCATCGAACTCTGAAATACCTAGCCATTTAAAGATGTATTGATAAATCTCAATTCATTAAGTTTATTGCGAAATTATCACCTCCCTCCCCCCATCAAGTTTGTATCCTTGTATGACCTGTCGCCACTGTCCAGCAATTTACATGCTGTTGGGTCATTGCCACATCAATTTGAATACAATGAATATCTCAATTGAGTTCTGCTCTTGCTGCACAGACACACTTTATTATTTTTCTTGAGATTTAAACTGTTATGAGACTGGGAAGGTGAAAGAAATGTCATTGATGTTGAATAGAGATGAATAATTATCTTTTGTAAATACAATCTTGCAGTAAAAAAGTTAGTGTTAGTGCCTGAAGTTCAAGGTTGGAAGGGCACTCATTTTCAAGGGCAAGATTTTTAAATTGATTTTTGGCATACAAGAATTACATTAAGGGACTTTTGGGTACAAGTTAAGGTAGAAGCCTATTCATAAATGCAAATACCCAGAATTTATACGTTTTGCAATAAATATTACTCTAAGGCAATACAAGGTCATTGACTTTAACAAAGTTGGTGTTTTAGAAAATAATTGTTTTAGTGGATACTTATATTTTGGCAGTATAACATTTTCACTGTAGGTTTCTCAAGGTCATTTATCCTAGTTTATTCAGTGTTCTCCCCAGAAATTTTTCATAGTCATGGCTAATTTGCATAATATTGAGCATACAATTAGCATAAATTAACATTGTTTGTCATATGGGGAAATAAAACAAAACCAGTTTTTTTCCTTTTTTTCTATTTATTTTATGTACAATCTGTATACAATTATTGCACTGCATGTTTAGTATTGCAAATGTCCTGCAGAAATACCGAGTTTTCTGTTCCTTTGCTTGGTCCAGGGTGACGCCATCTTGGATTCATAATCACGAGGTCAAAATTGTTTACATCATAAATATATATTTTTTCACATTTTGATCTCAAAAAAACAAATAGAATATCAAAAATACTGACAAAAATCAAAACTTCAAATTATAGTAAGACTACATTTCTAAAAATAATGAAAATATGTTTCGTACACACTAGAAACATGTGGCTTTTGACCCCAAGTGTGACTATATCATTTGCATATGAATATACGTTTGGCAAAGAGCGTTTGACACCGGGGCTTACGGCTTTGTCTTTATAGAACTGCTTTGTCTTTATAGAACTGCTTTGTTTTTTTAAAACTATATCCAACCAATGAGAAACAACAGGGGATTATCCCGGGAAATACAATGCATTTGTAGATTTAACTAGTTAGCCAGGAAACTTTACAGTTTGTGAGAGACTGAAGAAATCAGATCACGGGATAAATAATAGCATCGCGGAGGAAACGTGTAGCGTCACGGGCAAATCCGGTCGCGTCGCGACGCTGTTTTGGCCTGGGGAGAACACTGATTTATAGTAAAAACTAAATGCATGAAATATAACTAAATGATGATAGTATTTTAATTAGTATGTAATTGTGTCATAACTTCAGTTAGAGTTGGTGTAAATAAATCTACTTTGATGTGTTGAATGTAAAATAAAAGGATAACTGTATTTTCACTGGAATTGCGTTTTCACTTGTTCATCCTTTAAATTTCAAGTGAGAATAAAGTAATTTTTACAGTATTTGCATTTCATATGAAATATTTTCAGTGTTTGCCTTTCTTCTTTCCTCTTCAGGTGAACTTCACAATCGATCAGATCCGTGGGATCATGGACAAAAAGTCCAACATTAGAAACATGTCTGTGATAGCCCACGTTGACCACGGAAAATCTACCCTAACAGATTCACTTGTCAGCAAAGCTGGTATCATTGCTGGTCAAAAAGCAGGCGAGGCTCGTTTTACAGATACCAGGAAGGATGAACAAGAAAGATGCATTACGATTAAGTCAACGTAAGTAACTATAACATTAGTTCTCAGATCTCAGATGAGACTAAAACTGTTAAATTGTACAATACCAGTTAGAAATGTGCACAAAACATTAACTTTTATGAATTTTTTCTTTGCCAGGGCAATTTCTTTATATTATGAACTTGAAGAAAAAGATCTACAGTTTATTACCCAACTAACGACAGGAACAGGTTTTCTCATTAATTTGATTGACTCCCCCGGACATGTTGATTTTTCTTCCGAAGTGACTGCTGCCCTTCGTGTTACTGATGGTGCCCTTGTTGTAGTTGATTGTGTCAGTGGTAAGTTTGGCTAACCTTTGTTTGTGCTTTAAAAAATCAGGTAGATTGTAGTATCTGGCTTGGTGGGGGAATTCTTGGTATTAATTTGGAGTCTGTCCTTGCTTGTATCTAACCACATGCCTGGACTGATCGAACTTCACTCATACTTTCTAAATTTCAGAAAATATTTGCCCCATATGCATTTATTTCAGGATCCGATTCAAGATTGCTAAAATCAACCATTGCTGCCATGCTACATCTTAGCTGTGTATAGACACATTTCAATCTAACCTGCTACATGCAATAGACGTGGGACTTTGATGTGCGTTTTGGAAAAAAAACATTCGTAATGGCTGACTGGTGGCCATTTGATGTGCAGAGATGCATCCAATGTGCCTAGACCAATTAGTCACCCCACATGCATTTGCTCACCTCAAATTTGAGATGCCTGAATGGCATTAAATCATGCAATTTACTTCATTCTAGAACCTGATCAAATAAAACAATGAAGTATTCTGCAGTATTTTAAAGTAAACTGTTGTGAATTTTGTTGTAAACTGTTGTCAATTTTGTGAATTTTAAATTTAGTGAATCAGGTTTCTCATTTCCCTTTTACCTCCTTATCCATCCAGGTGTATGTGTACAAACTGAAACAGTGCTTCGTCAGGCTATTGCAGAACGTATCAAGCCTGTAGTGTTTATGAACAAAATGGACCGTGCACTGCTTGAACTTCAGTTGGACAAAGAAGATCTTTATCAGACTTTCCAGAGAATTGTTGAAAATATCAATGTTATCGTTGCAACATACGGTGATGAAGACGGCCCAATGGGCAATGTCATGGTAAATTATACAATTTCCTGGTTGTTACTTTAGCATATGTTTAAGCCGAAGTTATTGATTGGTTTGTTGTAGTAAATTTGTAAATGTTTAGTCTTATTTTCAATACAACATAAAATTTCTGACTTGTTTTGTAAACTTCATAGAAAGATTCATGTATTACATGTCTCGCCATCTTGAATTTTCAAGGTGAGTGTTCGGCGAAGAACTCGCTTATCACCTTCATTAGGAATATGTGTATGTGACAATGCCCTCACAGTTTAGAATCAATTTACCAACAGCCAATCATATTGCTTCTTTCTAAAATGCACTTGACCAAGCTATCAAAGTCTTCACGAGATGCCCCACGCTGCTATTAAAGACGCACTCCACTCTACCATGTATTTATTTCTATGGGCTCTGCGCGAGCTGCTGTTAAGTACCGGTCGAAAAGCCGGTGAAAACAGCTAAATACGAGAACGGCACATCCTTAACTAAACAACCAAATTTAAATATGTTGCATATGTAGGGGTAATCTTGTTGCACTGTTCAGTGGTGTCAACGACCATCTCAAAATAGTTTTCTTAGAATTTATTGGACTTTGTTTTCACCATGATGGTTGACAGACGGTGAAAATGCTTGACCCGAGAATAAATTTTGCTGCGCACAGTGGAAGCTGTGTTGGCTTGGGTGTCAAGGCAATACAGCGACGATACCCATACATCATGCAACTCACTCATATTCAGACTAAAGCTATTCAAACTATACTTAGTGCCGTGTCTGTGTTCGTTTTTAGTCGCACTGGAAATAGTAAATTTTTATGTTATTATGCTTTACCGGCCTTGCGACCATCGAGCGTGGTAATTGTGTTGTCACCACTGTTGAGTATTATAGAAGAGTAGGTGCTATACCGCAAAGTTCATGTCGTCACTGCAAGATACATCGGCAGAAATGAAGCCGAAAACATCACAAATGCAAAGCTCCAGTTGTTTCTGGCAGTCATTGTAACAAAGCTTTCTATTGGTCGGTAAACTTTCTATCGCGCAACCATGTGACATACACGGCTATGAATAGAATTACCGCACGTAGAGGGAGGAATATCCGAACGGAACAACACTGTGCAGGCGGACGATGTCTCACAGATTTAAATTGGTAGTGGACTACCTAATTCAAAAGCTTGTGGCCTAACAATAAAGTAACATAAAAATAACCAACTCGCTTTGTGTAGAACAACCCATACTTTATTTTAGTATATCATGGCGAAGAAATTAATAAGTTGACAATTTCTAGTAGTAGTTAGATTAATTATTTGAAGAATTGAATCAGTTTCTTGGGCTACTAATTTTGAGTTCTGCGCATGCAAATTGGAATTTCTGGTTTTAATCAAATATTGGTGAATAGTCGCTATTTTGGGTGCAAGATGTGGTTATGCCAACATTTGATTATGTACACTGAAAATTTTAATTAAATGTGATGACATTACATATTAAAGATTATCTGTATCTATTTTAGTTAATGGAAAGATATTCTTTGATCAAAATTGTTCTTGTACAATAAATAAATTTACTTTCTGAAGAATTTTGCTTGTTTAATACCTGTTTAACTTTGTATTGCAGGTTGACCCATCAAAGGGTACTGTTGGATTTGGTTCAGGTCTTCATGGTTGGGCTTTCACCCTAATGCAGTTTGCCGAAATGTACTGTGATAAGTTCAAGATTGACCGTGGCAAAATGATGAAGCGACTATGGGGTGATCAGTTCTTTAATCCTAAAGAGAGAAAGTGGTCTAAAAATTCTGGTGCGGGCTATGTGAGAGGATTTGTCCAGTTTATTTTGGACCCAATTTACAAGGTAAGACAATACTCGTGGCAGATTTGCAAGGATATTTTGTTAGGGTCTTTTTGGTGACCGGTAGATTCACTTCTGTGTGAGTGTGGATGAATCTATTTCTGTTATCTGAATGGACTGATAACGTTAATCTTTATGTACATAAACCTCATTTGCATGTGCATTTTAAGTCAAGATGGCTATAAAATTCATCAAAACAGTCATCATTTCAGATATTGGTCGTGTATTGATGGATTATACAAATTGGTACTTCTATTGAACACAATAGGGCCTTCGTGCATGTTAGTTTGTTATACAGATTAGTTTGAAAATGGCTTAAGGGTGGCCATTTCTAGAGCAATCTGAAAACCTAGACAATTTGAAATTTGCATTGTGATGCACATTAACATGCAGTGCTAAATGCCAATATGTTGCTGTTTATTGCACATGCCTTGTGATCAAGAACGTCTTGATTAAGAATATCAGGCATTAATGCACGAGTTTGGTTGATAACTAGAATATTTGTACTATTATAAATATGTATCATAAGATGTGTGCACATGCACTCTGTTATAGTCTTCAAATATGGTACAAATGTTTTCATCTTGAACACTGTCTTTTAATAGGTCTTTGATGCAATTATGAATTTCAAGAAGGACGACACTGTCAAACTTCTAGAGAAGCTTTCTATTAAGTTAACTGGAGATGACAAAGATAAAGAAGGAAAGCCTTTGCTGAAAGTTGTTATGCGTAACTGGCTTCCTGCTGGTGATGCTCTGTTGAAAATGATCACCATCCATTTACCATCACCTGTGACAGCACAGAAGTATCGTATGGAGCTACTTTATGAAGGTCCTCATGATGATGAAGCTGCATTAGGTATATACAGCTACCATAGTTATAATTAAGACTCATCGGAAATTTCTTGGCCACATCCAAGCTTTACGCATACATTGTATCAGACAGATACCATTTTTTGAGCTCCGCTGTCGATTTTGTCGAGCAGAGCTTATCATATGAGTGATTGTCGTCCGTCGTCGTCTGTGTCAATGTTTTACTTGTTCGACTTCTTGTTGAAAACTGCAAGTCCAATTGCTTTGATACTATACATATAGGTTACTACATGTGGACCTCTCTCAGATTTGTGCATTTTCTAATGATATCTTCTGTTCATTAATTGCCATGTGCATTACTAACAGCGAAGCTATCTCGGCTGACAGGCTGCTTGTTTTTATCTTTTGTTAGAATTAGCTGTGCTGGAGGAATATGTATAAAACAAGTGCTTAAGAAATCGCTAAAATTGTGCGTTTGAAGGATTAAAAATGTTTTATTTTGAATCTAGGTATCAAGAACTGTGATCCCAATGGACCATTGATGATGTACATCTCAAAGATGGTGCCTACTACTGATAAAGGACGTTTCTATGCTTTTGGCCGTGTGTTCTCTGGTATTGTGTCCACTGGCATGAAAGCCCGAATCATGGGACCAAATTATGTTCCAGGAAAGAAAGAGGATTTGTACATCAAACCTATTCAAAGGTGTGTATTTTATAGACTTGTTTTGCGTATGTGTGTGACCAGTTTTCAATCTCGGATTTTTTAAGCCTGTGTTGTAAAAGATGAGTGGAATTAGACTGCGCATTGCTTCCTTTATTTGTGCAATGTTTCATTCATAGTTTACAACGGTGGTGAGCTTATTGACAATGTTCCACATTTTGCTGGTATTCATTATCTTCAATAGTGCAAAATGTGCCAAATGCATTGTATACTTGTTTTGAATATTTTCCAAACTGGCTTTACATGCTTGTGAAAGAAAAATTAATCCTGATAATTGAATGAGAAAGTTGTTAATGTTTTGGGGATTTTTCTAACCTTGCTTCTTTTTGCTTTAGAACTATTCTTATGATGGGACGTTACATTGAACCCATTCCAGAAGTTCCATGCGGAAATATTGTTGGTCTTGTTGGTGTAGATCAGTACCTTGTTAAGACCGGTACTATCACTACATTTGATGGTGCTCACAATTTGAGAGTAAGTTTTGCTTTTAAATTCCCCTATATAGTTGTTTCTGTTATAAAATATACTTATAGTTACCTGTTGTCGCCTGCAATTTCTTTAAAGATTCTTAGTAATGAATAAAACTTGTATGTTATTACTTTGCAGGTTATGAAATTTTCGGTCAGTCCAGTAGTACGTATTGCAGTTGAAGCAAAGAACCCTTCTGAACTTCCAAAGCTGGTTGAAGGTTTGAAACGTCTTGCCAAGTCTGATCCTATGGTTCAGTGTATTATTGAAGAGTCTGGTGAACACATCATTGCTGGAGCTGGTGAATTACATTTAGAAATTTGCCTCAAGGATTTAGAAGAGGACCATGCTTGTATACAAATCAAGGTAATATTACTCATTAAATTTCTTGACATGCCCAGATCAATTTTGTTCATAGTTGCAAAAAAACAAGACTTGCATGCACTCAAAAGCTCGTTTAGACAACCAAATTTTTGGTATTGGAGGTTGTAACCTGACAATCCTTGGGATATTGTGACAACGATGTATTTTGAAATTAATATTTTATGAAATTCCTACATCATTTCATTCATTGCTCAAAACTGATATTGAAAGTCGTTCAGAATATGCGTTTGGCTATCTTTAACACCTAATTACACCTTCAAACTTTTCTAATAGTTCTAGTTCATCTGTTATGTGAACAAAGGGCAAGGTTATGATTGTATTATTGTTCAGATCCTCTTTCATGAGAATTCTTGTTTTCAAACATAAAAGTTTACCAAATAAGTCACATTGGTGATTGTCCATTTCTCTTCCCCCCCCCCCCCCCCATCTTGTGTTAATGGTAAATTACGTGTTTCTAGAAAACAAAGTGCAATTGCTAATTTTAAATGTGGGTAGGTTGGTGTATTAGATGGACTTGTTTCATGCCAATTTGTGAAAATGTTAATTACCTTCTTCCTACTCATTTGCACTCATTTGCACTCGTGAATGTGAATCCACTATTTGCATTTCATTGTGATAGAAGTGGTCTACGCAATTTGTCTATGGACGAATCAGCATATTTTTTTCCATTTTTGCAGGCATCTGATCCTGTTGTATCCTACCGTGAAACTGTTACTGAGATGTCTGACAGGATGTGTCTGGCTAAATCCCCAAACAAGCACAACAGACTTTTCATGAGGGCAGCTCCTCTACCTGATGGCCTTGCAGAAGACATTGACAATGTAAGATGAAATTCTTCATTCATGTTAAGACAAGTAGTCTGGTTGACCAGATAACCATATTTAGCACGGGACAACAATGAAAATGAAATGCATGTTTACTTTTCAATACTATCAAGATACTGTAAAAATTCTTTTTTTGAAAATTAACACATTAGAATCATTAATGAATCTGGTCTTTTGTGAAATTTCAGTATGTTTTGTGATTGAACTGCAGGATTAAACTGGTTAAAAGTGATATTTTTGACAGATTTGTTTTTTTTCTAATATCTTCAGTTCTTTGATTGAAATGTACAGACAGTGGAGCTATCCCAGTCAAGAGATTGCTTGTTTATTTACCAACTTTAGAGAAGTGCATTCCAAACAGAAAATTGACTCAAATTTGTATGTTGGCTCCAAATTTAGGTTTCATATCCATAAATATTAAAGAATGTAAAAAAGTGCAGACAAATTTGCCTGCAGTCTGGTGATAAAAAGATTAACCATGTTTGTGTATTTCAGGATGAGGTTACACCAAAACAGGAAGTGAAGTCTAGAGCAAGATACCTAGCAGAGAAATATGAATTTGACCTCACTGAAGCTCGTAAAATTTGGTGCTTCGGTCCTGAAGGCACAGGTCCCAATCTAGTTATTGATTGCACAAAAGGAGTACAGTACTTGAGTGAAATTAAAGACAGCGTTATTGCTGGTTTTCAGTGGGCTTCAAAAGAGGTAAGCATGCTTGGTGCATTTGTGTTCAAGTGTAACCAGTGTAACCATTCAGTTTGTGATAACTTGATTGTGGTGGGCAGAGTGCTACAGATTGGTCAATAAGTTTATAAGTCATCATACTTGAATTGTCTCAATATTACTGAATATTTTTTGCTTTGTAATCAATGACACACTGGTGTTTCAGTCCTGTTATTACTGTCTTTTATTCATAGGGTGTACTTTGTGAAGAAAATATGCGTGGTATCCGGTTCAATATTCATGATGTGACTCTTCATGCTGATGCTATTCATCGTGGTGGTGGCCAAATTATACCCACAACAAGGAGAGTTCTGTACGCCTGTGCACTCACAGCAACTCCTCGTCTTCTTGAACCTGTGTATTTAGTAGAAGTACAGGTGAGTTACTGTTCTAGCTTTACACAAAGTGACCATGACTTCCGTTTTATCTAGTTTTAAATATTCATTTCTGGACCAATTGTATTTGGTAGATTTGAGTAATTTCTCAGACCTGCATTAGCCACATTCAGTCAAACTTGCTACTTTGTGCATTTTTGACTCCAGTGTGCGAAGCACAAAGAGGGAGTCTTTGCAGTTAGTGTGTCTGTATGTGTGTGTGTCTGTCCCACTGATATCTCAAGAACCATACATCAGTTTTTGATGAAACTTGGTGCATAGATGCTCTGGGCCAATGCGCAGATTTGATTAGGTTTTGATAGAAAGCCATGCATATTAATTACCTAATTTGCATGATAATTAGCTAATTTTTAGCTGTTCCATGACTGTTCCACTGATATCTAAAGAACCACTTATTGGATTTTGATGAAACTTAGCACACATATGCTCCAAAGTAATGCGCAGATTTGATTAGTTTTGGGTAAAAATCTGTGCAAAATTAATTACCTAATTTGCATAATGATTAATCAATTTTCGGCTTTTCCATTGATATCTCAAGTAGTAATCATCACATTTCAATGACACTTGGTACATAGATGTCATAGGACACTGCACAGACCTGATAGTTTTTAGGGTAATATCAGTATATATTAGCTAATTTGCATAATTAATTTTCAGCTTTTGATATTTCAAGTAATAATCACATTTCAATAAAATTTGGTACATAGATGTCGTAGGACACTGCACAGACCTGATAGTTGTTATGGTAATATGAGTACATATTAAATACCTAATTTGCATAATTAATTTTCAGCTTTTGATATATCAAGTAGTAATCATCATATTTCAATGAGACTTGCTACATAGATCTTCTAGGATTATGCAGACACCTGATTAGGTTTAATTGGATATTAATTACCTAATTTGCATAATGTTCCACTGATATATAAAGAACCACAAATTGGATTTTAATGAAACTTTTAAAGAGAACTATGCAGAAACCCAATTAGTTTTTGGTAAATATTTATGCTTATTAATCACCTAATTAACATAATTAACACTGATATCTCAATTACTGATCATCACATTTGAATAAAATTTGGTACATAAATGCTCCAGGACAATAGACAGGCCTGATTAATTTTGATTAATATTAATTCTCTAATTAGCATAATAATTCATAATTTTTTTGTTCTGTTCTGTTCATATTAGATACCTGATTTACATAATTAGTTTTCAGCTTTTCCATCAATATCTCGTGTACAAGTAATTTTGAATTAATTTTTAATGTGTCTTCAATACTCTCAGCACACGGGAGTTCTTTCTAAGCTTTCTTTGATTCTGTTTTGCAATATAATCAGGACATCTGAGTGACCAGTTGGCATCTTACTATTCCATTAGTAAAAAGTATATGAAATATTCGAAGTATCTTTTTTTCTTCTTTATCCAACGAATGATTGTTGATTCTTTTATTTTATATTTAATTGCTCACTCCCCTAATCCAAGAAGGTATAGGCAATTAGATTTTCGTCTTGATTTATCAAGTCAGCTCATTGCTGGGTCCTGTAGTCGTAAAAAACGTGGGCCACAACCAGTCACTCGGTGTTGAAAACAGCTTGAGTTACGCCAACCTCCCTACTCATAAGTGTGAAATGATGCAACCAAATGCCAAGCGAAAGAAACGTTCTTGTAAATATTGTTCTAGAATTGGTAAGAAAACTCCTAAGGGTTATTCTGTGGAGACTTCATTTGGGTGCAAGTTTTGTAATGTATTTCTGTGTAAAGATGAGTGCTTTATCTCGGATACCATGCCTGTATGCTACAGCATTGAGTAATATTTGTTTATAATAAATTAGAAACAAAGTGAATTGTAAATAAAATGTGTTTTTTTTTAAAATGAAATGAAACTAAACTAGTGTCATAGTCTTTTCCCTGTGTACATGTCAACCTACCTGGCTCACACTGAATTGGTAAAAAGTTTTGGGTAATGGGAGTGCAAATTAGTAATGGGCCCTGCAACATTGTTGCAACAAAGTATGGTGTGCAAAGGGTTAAGGACATTCGGAAGACTGATTCCCCACTGTTGGTTCAACCCCAAAACTTGTTTGCATTCAAAACTAATTATGACAATGCATATTTATATTGAAACAAACTATGATAAATGGGATTATATTATATAACAAAGGGCAAGGTCACCAGAGTTCAACTATGTTATCGAAGTAGTAATGCTATTCATTTGATCTGTTTTCTTAGTGTCCTGAAGTAGCCGTTGGTGGTATTTATGGCGTGTTGACGAGAAGGCGTGGTCATGTATTTGAAGAAAACCAAGTTGCTGGTACTCCTATGTTTTTAGTAAAAGCATATTTGCCAGTAATGGAATCTTTCGGTAAGTTGTACTTTCATTTTCACAAGCCTCAAACCTAATTAACACAACACAAAACTGTGAAGTCAATTGTGATTTCCCCACACTTTCGGGTTTTACATCCTTGACCTGATAAAACTTGTTTCAATTTTCAGTGAACTATGACAAAAAATACAATGCAACTCAGAAACATGCTGATGTACATTTTAGTTTGCCTTGAGTGACTGCAAAGTTTCACTTGTATACACAAGGTAGTATTTGACATGTTTAAAAAAAAACTGTCAACAAGTTGTGCTCTGATTTGGTCTGTTAAAGGTTATGGTTGGTTAACCAATCAGGCACAAGCTTCACATTGACAGTTTCATTATATAATTGTTTTAGGTTTCACAGCTGATCTGCGCTCCAACACTGGTGGCCAGGCCTTCCCGCAGTGTGTATTCAACCATTGGCAAGTTCTTCCCGGTGATCCATTTGACCATGGTTCAAAACCATTCACAGTTGTTGCTGATACAAGGAAGCGTAAGGGTCTGAAAGAAGGTGTTCCAGCATTGGAGAACTACCTGGACAAGCTCTAAACACAACCCATTTGAACAAACCTGAAAAACAAATACAACTGATCAAGAAAAATCACTAGCATCTTCACCAATTTGTCAAGTACCCTAAATTTAATAATATCAAAACAATTGTATGTTTATTGATGAATGTAACTGGCAGCAGACTAAAAATTGCAAAGACTTTTATTCTAAGGAACTGCTTGAATTGTATGCTATTAAAAGCTTGAAATACTGTTCCTCTGGGCTTGATCACCTTTTTATTTTAAATAGGTGTGAAGATGAGAAATGTCCCATTCAAAGTGGGTGAGAAAAAAAGAATATATTTGTTCATAAAGAATTGCCAGACCTGTTCTGCAGAAGGTCTGAAAAATAGAAAGATTACCTACCTAAGTTAATAAAACATCAGTTACAAAATAAGGTTTTTTGAAACCAGCATTTATTCTTTACTTGTATGCTGTATGTATGCATGCTATGTCAATTCAGTTCATAAGTAAATTACCTGGAAAGATTGCACATGCCTCAATAAAAGAAACCTTGTATGGTTTAATTGATATCTACCAAATGTTCAGGTTTCAATGCAAGAGATATTGATAATTGTGCATGGAAAAACTACCGATAATGCTTTACCATGGCATTTGCTCCATCAGAGCCCAAAACGTTACTTCCTGTTAGGATGTAGTCTTAAAAACAAGACTTGTAATTGCACACCTTTATGTTGGACATGCCCTTGGCAAATTGTATTTAAATTTTCAAGATGGCTGCCAATTTAGTGCATTGAAAAAAAATAGTGGTTTGCAATGAGGATTCCTTATCTGGTGCTCGCCATTCCCCTAATGTGCATGGGTGGCACTTTGTGGTGGTGTCATCCATACAGCTCCGGGATATGAAAATTGTTTTAGTCGTGGTTTTTACTACAAAAAATGTCCTTACTCCATACTTTGATATAAGAACAACCCTGTTCTGAATAAGACTCGTAAATTTTAAACAAACATCCAAAGTAAACTGGTATTGTGAACAATAGAACTAGTAATGCAGATTAATAAAACTACCTTTGTAAATGCAAAGGATTTCTACCAAACTGTCCATTGAAAGTATTACACCAAGATCAATTGTATGATGCAAAGAGTGGTTGGTGTGACTGACCGACCGAGGTAGCTATCCTCGTCCGACAATGCTCAAGAATTGTATTAATAACTACCTAGTAGGACTACTTTAACACAAAGCTGTAGGGAGTTTTTCCCTTCCATGTACACCCCATTGTGGGCAGTTTGTTGTGCAACTTTTGTATGAAGGCCAATAACCTGTTGATGCCACACCTAATACACATTTCATTTATTCCATCACAAATTGCTAGAGTGACTGCATCTACTGCTTGTAGATTCAAATCCAGGATGTACCTCTTAGATCATATGAAAAACTAGTGAACACAATGTGTTTAGAACAGTACGCTCCTAATAAATGCAGTACTTGCCTCATAAATGCTGACAAAGGAATTGCTGCACAAAATAAACTTCTTGCTTGGATCAATTGACATGAGGCAAAGAGTGGTACAGCTCGTTTTATACACAAAATAAGTTGTAGGATGTGTACGTATCATTGATTTGAAATGAGTGGGATGTGTTTGATTAATTCAGGTTGGTTAACAAATGCATAGCATTAAAAGTAAATTGTATGATTGTGTGAACAATTGTACAATCAGTGCGAAAACAAAATTGGATAGCGTACAGTGTTGTAATAGTTGAGAATCCTTAGATGAAATTGTCACAAAGTTGAAGTAATAGTTGGGCTGATGTGAACTGGCGCTCTATTAAACCTCTCACCTCGCCTAAAATTGTTGCATGGATTGGTGGTCATATGTACACTGTCAATCACATGTGCAGGGTAACGACT